TCCAGAATTTAATTGCCCATATTTAAGGTGCATAAAACACATGAGTGCATATTATACGCGAATAAATAAGTCTTGTGTACATTGATCAATCGGAACGGGTGCTAATTGGGATTGTTCACTAGCCAATATGTAAGCAAATATCACCGTGGGGGCTTATTAGAGCAGGGCGCATATTACGTCGAATACGGTAATATCAATGACCTGTATGATCACAACACGAAAAAAAAATTAATTGCCTGATTATAACACATCCTAACAAATCTTACTAGCAAGTATTGAATACTAGATTCAAGCAATTCTCCCTCCATGACCTGTGTTAATGGGGTGGTTGATAGCGGCCTTTCACCTACACAAAGTAGAGACACTTTTGATCATGAAGTTATACAATAATTATCCTGATACTGATCCCTTCACCAGACCCCTGAAGATCCGGGGTAGAATAGGTCTTCAGCAAACCATGCTTGTCGTAAAAGGCGACTATGCTTGTTGTAAGAGACGACTAACGGGTTCGGGTGGTTGATGCATGTCATTGTATCCCTGTTGTGGGATTGATGGTCATGATGTCAATCACTGGATTGTCTGGTCCAGACTCGATTATTTACAGCCCCCCCCCCCCCCCCCGTCATATAGCTGTAGTATTGCTGTGTGTGGCGTTAAACAACAAACAAACCAAAACCCTTTACCAGGTTCAAGATACCTGAGTGAGTGAGTTGGGTTTAACGCCGCTTTTAACAATATTCCAGTTATTATCGCTGCGTGTCAGCTTAATGTGGGAGGAAAGCCCGAAGTGATGCAGGTCTAAGACGTTTATCACTTCGGTGAAACCCTCGAGCACGGGTATGGTGCTGACAAACATAGAAACATAATCTGGGCGAACCGGGATTCAAACCCCTAATCATAGGTTTCTGGCGTGCCCAAGGGACACAACTCTGCACAGCGAATCGTGGCGACTTAGACGACTGGGCCACCCGTGCCCCCTCAAGATAACTGAGTCAGGGAGTATTACTCACATCATTCACATTGGATATTGGGTTTTCTTTGGGTATTCTACTTAAGTTTACTACCTTGGAGCCAGTCTTTTGGGTTTTGTAAACCAATGAGTAGATTTTTGAAAATAATCCTACTTTGCTGTTCCAGTAACATCAACATGAGCTCCAGATAAGCTTTTGGTGTTGTGGGTATTTTACCCATGCATTTTAAAATCATTGGGTATCAGTAATTCTATCTGGGTATTCAAATTTCTGTTACCCACTAGTTTTTACACATGTGGGTATTTAAGTTAAATATTTAAAAACACTATTCATCTAGTCCCTGCAAACTGGTGTTGTGTGGGTTCGAGAGCTTTATAGGACTAAAATATACCACGATACTTCCACAAGAAAGTGTGATGGCAAATGATCATGATGTAACTGTCATCGTGGAGTTTGGCAAGGTTGACGGAATGCCCGTTTATAATTTCAAAATAAGTTGCTGATTTGCTAATCGAATACGCAGGGTTACTTCACAATATTTTGATGATACGCACAAGTTATATTTTTGTAGCGTATCTTGAATGTTCATTGCGTATTTGATACGCTTGGATTTTATTTTACTTCGTATTTCTGTATTTCTGATGCGTATTTTACGCAGATACGCAGCTTATCTGGAGCTCTGAAAAAGTATATGTTGGTGTGCTACCGCAATGACAGTCCTGCACCATGACTGTGGAATATATTTATTTAATGAAAACAAAACCAATCTAGATGAATATACAAAAGCAAGTCTAGCCAGCTCTTGTTAGCTCTATTAGCATCATGATAATTATTTGTTATAAATTTAGAAGAGAGAAGTGTATTGTGCAATATAAGATTTCATAGACAATATGTTGGCCTGCCGCAATGAGTCATGTCGCAGTATCTCATAACAGTGATACATTATCCACTACAGTTCACATATACACGATGCCTGCGTCAGTCAGCTGGGAAACATCTGAAGTGACACGTGTACACAAGTTAAAAAAGTTACATTGGGTTATTACACTGTGTTGTGTTACTACTGGGTCTTCAAATTTATTCATAATAAAACATAATATTGACTAATAAATTGTATCAATTATGTCCCTACATACTTGTTACGGCCTCCCAATGCAAATGCTTTAGGTCAAATTTCTATAGGAGGTCAAAATTAACAATGTTATTTATTTTAATTTTACACATATTCAATGACAAATGTTAACGCACTAGTTGAAAAATTATGTACAATTTTGTAAGAATACACACAATACGATTGATCATGTATAGTCAAAAAGAAAACCCTATTTCTCAGGTATTTGAAATTGACATCAATATTTACACTGCCATGATGTAATGAAAGACAAAATAGATACGTAGACGTACTCTTAATCATAACTAGATTGGCCTTAGCAGACAGGTTTTTTTTCAAAATAGACCTGTCTCTTCATCGCAACTAGATCGGCCTTACCGGACATGTTTTTTCCTCATCAACACTTTAGCCTGCATCAGGTAGATCAGTCGCTAACTCACTGGCCCAGATGTCGTACGTCTAACAAGTCCTGAACATACTGCTGATATCACAGGGCGGTGACTGGTCTGGTCGAGCTGAACAAGGGCTTGCCATTCATTACCATGACAATACACCTCAAATCCATATCTTGTCATGGTTCAAAGCTGTAAGTATCATTACAGGGAAGAGGTATATTTAGAAGATCTGATTGATGTGGGATAATTAGTTTCATAAACATATAATTCAGGCATACTTACTTTGATCCGACACGCCCTCGTTATGTGTGACTAATAGTGACATAACGCAGAGTGAGTGAGTAACTTTGGCTTAATGCTCCTTTGAACAATGTTTCTGTAATATCACACACTGATTTATCTGGAACTCCAAACAAAGCACGTTGGGAAAAAAATTGTTTTGTTCAAATCTGGCATTTTTGAAACTGTTTGGTTTTTTATATTCAGAAGTAGTTTGACATTGTATGCAAAACACAATGTAAGCTAAAGCACTTAGGTCTCCTCCTTTTTATTGGTACTGTTATCAGTGAAATACAAGTCACCTCTACAATGCTGTAAAATTTGTTATGACATTATTATCATGAAGTTTGAATTTTTTTATTCTAATTTGGGAATTATTCCCATTATTTGAGTCCGACTTGGAGCCAGAAATGGGCCTCTGAGCAGGTCAAACTACAGCCCTGATCATGTTGTGCCAGGCAAGCCAATCCAAACTGATGTCCACTTTGGTAATTTGTGGCATCTGACCACTAGGTCAACTCTAACTCAAACATGTTTTGGTGGGTCTCATGTCCATCCTTTGGATGGTGTTTCTTACCATCAACATTACCCTGGGCCAACATACAGGACTACTCCCCTGGGCCATTGTATATGCTGCTAGTATGTCATGAGACGTTTACCACAGCTTTGGTTCTGTCAGTGTCACCTTAGGAGGCAGTCTGTGCCAACAGCTCTGGAATTCACAGGTCATTTGAATCATATTCTCATCACTCAGCATTATTTCCCAAAGATTTAAGTGAAAGTACAAGGCTTTCATAAGCTATGCTTCGTACACCTAAAGAAATGTGCTGGCGCTGGTCTAGAGGCCAATGTGTCAGGGAACTAGGGATGACAAGTGGGGCTATTTTCACAACTGCGATTGCATTGCAATAGTAGCACACACTACTGCGATTGTATTGCAATAGTAGCACACACTACTGCGATTGTATTGCAATAGTAGCACACACTACTGCGATTGTATTGCAATAGTAGCACACACTACTGCGATTGTATTGCAATAGTAGCACACACTACTGCGATTGTATTGCAATAGTAGCACACACTATTGCAATCGCAGCACATACTATTACAATCGTAGCAACCAAGACAGTTTTAATTTGTACAATCTGTCCCAATCCTTGTCATTAAAATTGATACTACCCAATTCATTAATGTACAAAACGTGTCATATGTTTGTTTTTTATCATTTATTTGTCCTTTTTAATTTGTGGTTTAATATAACAGCTGATGTAACAGATATGTCACAATGTGTTGTTGTTAAAATAACATCTGTTATGAAGTATGACCTTCAGGTATCAGGAATGATTTTAACCATGCCGTTATGATTTTTAACCATGCCATCACTACTAAAATGCAATGAATTTCAAACCCTGTTATTGTTATCAAATGTTGACATTTTTCCTCCCCATTCTTGCCTAATAAGACGACTATGCTTTTCGTAAGAGACAACTAACGGGTTCAGGTGGCCAGACTCACTGATTTGGTTGTCATCATATCCAAATTGCGTGGGTGTCATGCGTCATGATGTCAATGACTGGATTGTCTGGTCAAGACTCGATTATTTACAGACCGCCGTTATATAGCTGGAATATTGCTGAGTGTGGCGTTAAACAACAAACAACCAACCTTGAATGATGTCAGTGCAATATCGCACCAGTACCTGTCAATTATAGAAACGAGCAGTACTCGTCAGTTCTGATAAGCATGATAAGGGACAGTACAGTAGAAAAATTATCTGGAGCACAGAGTCAAATACGTCTGTCATGGGGCCATCCTGACAGGGGCTGTGATGAGGAGATGAAGTGAGAGAGTGAGTATGCTTTTACGCCGCTTTTAGCAATATTCCAGCAATATCACAGTGCGTGACACCAGAAATGGGCTTCACACATTGTACCCATGTCGGGCATCGAACCCGGGTCTTCAGCGTGACGAGCGAACACTTTAACCACTAGGCTACCTGACCGCCCCTGAGATGAAGCCCAGTCTGAGCCAAAAACGTTCATGCCCCCTAACAAAAGTCTTTTCTTTTCAATGCTGTAGGGTTCAGTGCGAACATATTATCTGTTCTAGTTGGACAGGACAACATTTTTGAAAGACTCAGGTTTTGGAATTGTCGGGAATTTGCAAAAAGATATTCCTCTGACCTCTCAGTGGCCACGATGTCCTGGAGTCTCTCCCCAGGGCAGTGACGAAAGGGTGACTTACCTGGCACTCTCTAGTCTGACGGGCGGGGCTGGGGGCTTGTCTACATCCTCCGACATTGTGTCAGCAAGTACTGGTGTGCCCTCTCTCCACTACGGGTTACACTGTAGAGACAAAATAAACGTTGCCACTTGGTGTCGTGCCCTTTCTACGATCTACTCATGCTCTACTAGAGGTTACCATGGTTACACTGTAGAGACAAAATAAACGTTGCCACTTGGTGTCGTACCCTTTCTACGGTCTACTCATGCTCTACTTGAGGTTACCATGGTTACACTGTAGAGACAAAATAAACGTTGCCACTTGGTGTCGTGCCCTTTCTACGGTCTACTCATGCTCTACTAGAGGTTACCATGGTTACACTGTAGAGACAAAATAAACATTGCCACTTGGTGTTGTGTCCTTTCTACAGTTTACTCATGCTCTACGAGAGGTAATCATGGTTACACTGTAGAAACAAAATAAACATTGCCACCTGGTGATGTGGCCTTTTCACTGTCTACCCTGCTCTACTCTTGCTCTACTAGGAGTTACCAAGGTTACACTGAATCATCTTTCTGACATTGTATCAATACTAATAGAATGATCACTATGAGGTCCTATCTCTTCACAGTAAAAGCAGGCAGTAATTTAGATTATCATTAAGCATCTTGATCAGTCATTAACACAGAATTCCACAATATGAAATTACCCTCAATCAGATATGTTAGTTGATGTTACCATGGTAACAGATCTGTGTATTATGGCAGTGTTTAAATTCCGATAACTTATCTAAGTGGAGTAACAAATCATTGCAAGTTTTTAGCGTATTTAGCGATATATTCAAGTCATTACCTAAATGCCACTCACTTCATAATTTTATATCCTATAAAATTTAAAATCTTTCAGATCATCGGATGTCTCATAATTTAACAGACCTACACAAAAACATCCTAACTCGGAGAGTTGGTGGGAATAAACACTGGTCATGGTAGGCTATTATCAAAAATCTTCCCTGAGTGAGTTGGGATTTACTTGAAAGCTACTTTGAACAGTGGTTCAGTTACCATGGCTACATGATGGTGTGTCGGCTAACCTACTTAACGTAGGAAGAAAGCCCAAAGTGATGCACTTGATATCATGGCAGATAACATCCAGGTATGGAGCTGGTGAGGTGAGGTGAAATTGGGTTTAACTTCACGTCCAAGATTATTGCACTTATATAGGTGAGGTGAGGTGAAATGGGGTTTAACTTCACGTCCAAGATTATTGCACTTATATAGGTGAGGTGAGGTGAAATTGGGTTTAAAGTCACGTTCACAAGATTATTGCACTTATATAGCAACGTGCATGCATGTGTGTGTGCGGCTGCTTGTACTAGTTGTGAACCAAGGCTCTGAATGAGTGTGAACCAAGGCTCTGAATGAGTGTGAACCAAGGCTCTGAATGAGTGTGAACCAAGGCTCTGAATGAGTGCGAACCAAGGCTCTGAATGAGTGTGAACCAAGGCTTTGAATGAGTGTGAACCAAGGCTCTGAATGAGTGTGAACCAAGGCTCTGAGTGGGAACCAAGGCTCTGAATGAGTGTGAACCAAGGCTCTGAGTGGGAACCAAGGCTCTGAATGAGTGTGAACCAAGGCTCTGAGTGCGAACCAAGGCTCTGAATGAGTGTGAACCAAGGCTCTGAATGAGTGCGAACCAAGGCTCTGAATGAGTGCAAACCAAGGCTCTGAATGAGTGTGAACCAAGGCTTTGAATGAGTGTGAACCAAGGCTTTGAATGAGTGTGAACCAAGGCTCTGAATGAGTGTGAACCAAGGCTCTGAATGAGTGTGAACCAAGGCTCTGAATGAGTGCGAACCAAGGCTCTGAATGAGTGTGAACCAAGGCTTTGAATGAGTGTGAACCAAGGCTCTGAATGAGTGTGAACCAAGGCTCTGAGTGTGAACCAAGGCTCTGAATGAGTGTGAACCAAGGCTCTGAGTGGGAACCAAGGCTTTGAATGAGTGTGAACCAAGGCTTTGAATGAGTGTGAACCAAGGCTCTGAATGAGTGTGAACCAAGGCTCTGAATGAGTGTGAACCAAGGCTCTGAATGAGTGCGAACCAAGGCTCTGAATGAGTGTGAACCAAGGCTTTGAATGAGTGTGAACCAAGGCTCTGAATGAGTGTGAACCAAGGCTCTGAGTGGGAACCAAGGCTCTGAATGAGTGTGAACCAAGGCTCTGAGTGGGAACCAAGGCTCTGAATGAGTGTGAACCAAGGCTCTGAGTGCGAACCAAGGCTCTGAATGAGTGTGAACCAAGGCTCTGAATGAGTGCGAACCAAGGCTCTGAATGAGTGTGAACCAAGGCTTTGAATGAGTGTGAACCAAGGCTCTGAATGAGTGTGAACCAAGGCTCTGAGTGTGAACCAAGGCTCTGAATGAGTGTGAACCAAGGCTCTGAGTGGGAACCAAGGCTTTGAATGAGTGTGAACCAAGGCTTTGAATGAGTGTGAACCAAGGCTCTGAATGAGTGTGAACCAAGGCTCTGAATGAGTGTGAACCAAGGCTCTGAATGAGTGCGAACCAAGGCTCTGAATGAGTGTGAACCAAGGCTTTGAATGAGTGTGAACCAAGGCTCTGAATGAGTGTGAACCAAGGCTCTGAGTGGGAACCAAGGCTCTGAATGAGTGTGAACCAAGGCTCTGAGTGGGAACCAAGGCTCTGAATGAGTGTGAACCAAGGCTCTGAGTGCGAACCAAGGCTCTGAATGAGTGTGAACCAAGGCTCTGAATGAGTGCGAACCAAGGCTCTGAATGAGTGCAAACCAAGGCTCTGAATGAGTGTGAACCAAGGCTTTGAATGAGTGTGAACCAAGGCTTTGAATGAGTGTGAACCAAGGCTCTGAGTGTGAACCAAGGCTCTGAATGAGTGTGAACCAAGGCTCTGAGTGTGAACCAAGGCTCTGAATGAGTGTGAACCAAGGCTCTGAGTGGGAACCAAGGCTCTGAATGAGTGTGAACCAAGGCTCTGAGTGCGAACCAAGGCTCTGAATGAGTGTGAACCAAGGCTCTGAGTGCGAACCAAGGCTCTGAATGAGTGTGAACCAAGGCTCTGAGTGCGAACCAAGGCTCTGAATGAGTGTGAACCAAGGCTCTGAGTGCGAACCAAGGCTCTGAATGAGTGTGAACTAGGGCTCTGAATGAGTGGGAACCAAGGCTCTGAATGAGTGTGAACCAAGGCTCTGAATGAGTGGGCATCAAGGCTCTGAATGAGTGTGACCCAAGGCTTCAAAGCCAAGCAGTGTTCGAAAGAAGCGCCTGTCCGTAGGCCTGAGGCAGAGAGATCTTGTGTCAGGTCCATAGTTTCAAACTAATTTGTTTGTTTGTTGTTTAACGCTGCACCCAGCAATATGCCCGGGCGGTCTGCAAATAATCGAGTCTGAACCAGACAATCCTGTGATCATGAGCCTCGATTGTGATACGTTGACATGCGTCATGAAGTCAGCGAGCCTGACCACCCCAATCTCATTCAAACTTGTATAGGTCCTTATGGCCTGCAGTAATTTACGTGTCTATTTGTCACGATAAGCTGTTTCTTTTTGTTCGTTTTTCATGACAAATATATGCAAACAGTTCCTCAACATACTTTGCAACTTGCACATTAATTTCTATAGCTAGCACAATCACTTCCTTTCAATATTTGCTGTAGCCTGTCTATAATGCAAGCTCCTTTCTGTACGATCACTGTTCATCACAAATCAACATGCTGCATTACGTGGAAGGTGTAATGCAGCAACTGGAGAAACTTTGCAGGACAAAAATAGAAAAAATAGGATGAAGAATTTGTTTTTCTCAGGAATTTCATTTGTATTTTTTTTTTTTAATTGAAATAATTTTAGGTTTGTTTAAGGAAATTCAACTTTCACTCAAATATTAAGGGGCTGACGGGTTTACTCAGGGCCTGCATTTTCTAGAGTCTGTGGGTCCTGATGGCACCCTGTCATTTCCTTTAATTCAGACACTGAACTCATGGCCAATGGAATTCTACAGACTCAGGGATTAATCTCTTCATGAACATGTGTTCTCTTGTATGAAAAATTAGTCCTCTTGTATGAAAAATTAACCAGGTAATCAATTGTAATAATCAATTGTCTCACCATCAAAAGCAATACAAATCAAAGACAAGAGACTTAATGCAGTATCAATGATGTGATAATCAGGAGTATTAAATGAAGGTATCCCAGTGACCTCTCTGACGATCATAATAGATGATGGAAATACATTGTATGGATAACCCTCTTCCCAATAAACATTTATTATGCCCTGAAAACATTATCACTGAACACTGCCCCAGGGACAGGCATGATCAGCTTCGGTCAACTGGCCTGCATCTCATAGCACAATATTTGTGGAGTGAGTGAGTGAGTGAGTGAGTGAGGTGAAATTGGGTTAAACGTCGCATCCAAGATTATTGCACTTATATAGCGACGTGCATGTACATGTGTGTGTTTGTGTGGCTGCTTGTACTAGTCCGGACTGATGCCGATTTATAGTGCTAGCCCACTGAGATACCATGCTGCAGTTTAACATGATTACCCCATTCAGACACAGTATACTGACTCCGAGCCAACCAGTCCTTGATTTAGCCCCTTAATGCCGAGCGCCAGAAAGGGTAACAACAAGTACCATCTTTTAAGGTCTTTTGGTATGACATGGCCGGGGATCAAACCCCGGACCTTCCGGTCGGACGCTCTACCAGTAGACCACGGAGGCAGTGAGTGAGTGAGTGAGTGAGTGAGTGAGTGAGTGAGTGAGTGAGTGAGTGAGTGAGTGAGTGAGTGAGTGAGTGAGTGAGTGAGTTGGGTTTAACACTGCTTTGAACAGCATTCCGGTTATATCATGGCGTGTCAGTTTAATGTGGGAGGAAAGTGAGTGAGATGCTGATGACCTGCCAGAAAATTGCTATGAAAATAATGTAAGTTGTTTTGTGCATCCTCTCCCAGAGTGTCTCTGACTAAATAAAGCCAGCTCCCCACCACCCCAAATAGTAAATGGTGGTCCCTGTCAGCAGGCATGTTCACATGAAATATGTCATTGACATGTGGTGTCACAAGGCTTGGTTCTCTCCAGGATAACCTCATGTCTATAATTACTTTCACTGGAATGTCAGTGATAATTGTTCCTGATTGGTACAAGGAGGTAATTGTCCTGTTGTTCCAAGCCTGATTTCAAAGCCCACTAACTAAAGCATCCAGGAGGTAACATTATTCCTTGAGTAGCCTAAAATACTAAAATTGGACCTAATGATTGGTTGGTTGGTTGGTTGTTTTACGCCGCAGTGAGCAATATTCCAGCTATATGATGGCAGTCTGTAAATAATCGAGTCTGGACCAGACAATCCTTAGATTGATATCATGAGCAGCGATCCACGCAATTGGGATCAATGACATGCATCAACCAAGTCAGCGAGTCTGACCACCCGATCCTGTTAGTTGCCTTTTACAACAAGCATGGGTTGCTGAAGACATATTCTACCCTGGATCTTCACGGGTCATGTGTACTGTTACATCTACGTCGAATTATTATCTTCGTTGACACACCATTACCTTTTCACAATGAGACGTTCCACGTTTGTTTTGCATGCTTCAACCAAGTCAGCGTGCCTGACCATCCGATCCTGTTCGTCGCCTCTTACGACAAGCATAGTCCTACATTGCAACGTGCATGCACGTGTGTGTGTGTGGCTGCTTGTATTAGTCCAGACTGATGCCAATTCATAGTGCTAGCCCACTGACATACCATGCCGCAGTTTAACATGAATACCCCACTCAGACACAGTATACTGACTCCGAGCCGACCAGTCCTTGTTTTAACCCCTTAATGCAGAGCACCAGACAGGTTAACAACAAGTACCATCTTTTAATGTCTTTTGGTATGACGTGGTCGGGGATCGAACCATGAACCTTCTGTTCTCTGGCCGGACACTCTACCACTAGACCATGGAGGCGGTCACCACAAAACTAAGTCTGTGGCAGTCTGTGCTTTTGTGTGGGAACCACCACTTTTGTAAGCAAATGGTAAGGCTAGAGAGTTACGATTCTGTGGCATTACATCTGGAAGTAACTGCAATCTTAACATCTTAACCATGTTTATACAAAACATGCGAACTGCGAAGATTGTAGCAAGTCTGTTAAAACATGGGACATTCGACACTCACAGCACTGAGATTGATAACCCTCTCTTATCTGCCACCACCAAGTTATCGACCATCCTTTCAAGCATTATTTGGAGAGTTGTGTAATTGTACATGCATCCTGTTCCAAATCAATCATCTTTATTATTTAGAAAATGGTTTCCGCCATTAATGATGGTTGGTAAAAACTCTGCCCACAACCTTGTTATTAGACAGCCTTCATGACTGGGTATTAAACACTACCCATAAATCTTTGACTGGACAGAGCAATGACAAGCCGAGCGCTTACATGTTTTTCTGTAATGAAATATCTAACTTCACATTTAACATGAACATGATGAATAACGATCTAATTTTTGTGTGTTGCCAACCAGCAAAGGTGTTTATTTCATTTCACTACGATAGCACGCAATCAACAAAGTTGCTGATCCTGACCTCCCAATCCAGAAATGGCTAACTTTCGAGCAGAATCGACTGTTATAGGTTGATGTTGACCTAATCTATCCTGGAATCTGAGTGAGTGAGTGAGTGAGTGAGTGAGTGAGTGAGTGAGTGAGTGAGTGAGTGAGTGAGTGAGTGAGTGAGTGAGTGAGTGAGTGAGTGAGTGAGCATGTCAGCTGGATGTGGAGCTGGGTAGAACGTCAAAAGTAACAAGAGGTTGCAAATCCCCAGATGTTCCCCACTTCAGTAAAACCAACAAGCTTAGATATGATGCTGACCCATGTAAATAATCAGGGCATAACTTGGACTTGAACCAACAAGGGACAGCCTGGCATGAGTAAGGGACACAACTCTGCCTGCTGTGCCCCAAGACCACCAGGCTGCTTGCGCCCCTTCATTACAACAGATTCCTCTTGACTCCATACTTTTCTTTTACTGGCTCCTTGAAAATTATTTCAGAGATACTTGGCTCCACAGAACCTACCCAAACTGTGAGGCCTGTGTATCGATGCCTCATCAAGCCGCGACACCCAAAATACTTTCTTGACAACCATCTCAAACTCCTCCTCAGCGAAGTTCTTCCTTTGATCGTTGCTACGACTACAAGAGGATGAAGAGGTTAGCAACACACTCAGTGCATCCTCCTGTGATGTGGCCATCTACAAGAAGCCTTCCATCAGACCCCCAAACACTAGAGTCTCAACCCAAGACCCATCCTAACTGCCTGGTTAGTGTGAAGTGCTAGAATCCATTACAACATCATGTGGCCTCCTTTCTGCTGACTCAGCATTGGATAATGTAATAGGTTTATCATTGATTTCTACCAAACAGTCACAGAAACCCAGTGCCCCGGGGCACCTGCACCAGCATGTTGTGAGTACAAAGGCTTGAGAATGTCAGTGGGAGTAATAAGTCAGGACTATCACAGCCTGTTAGCATGAGAGCAGTGGGCAGCGTGCAGGCTTGTAATCAATATTGGCAAACTGTTGTCTGGACAAGGCAGACAATTACTACCGTGGGTTTAGTCTCGTTATGGGTTATTTCTTCCAGTTTATCACCGTGATCTGTTCCCTGGTTTAAGAATCGGAAATAAATGCAGCCATGGCAGAGGCACCCGTCATGTCACTATTGGCAGATCTGATGCAAACAGTGATTGCTGATAATCAGCGTTAGAAATTGGCTCTAGTCCCATTGTCCTTGCCAAACTGCCCAAGTCATTTTTAAGGGTTTTGCTATATGCTATCATTATAACGACTAGTGGACTAAAACAGTTCGTTTCTATCCCTGATAATGTGTGTGTGTGTGTGTGTGTGTGTGTGTGTGTGTGTGTGTGTGTGTGTGTGTGTGTGTGTGTGTGTGTGTGTGTGTGTGTGTGTTGTTTGGCGATACTGCAGCCAAGGGAAGGGCATTGGAGGTTTAAAGTGTATCACAATATTTTACAATGCATAAAGGCCATATTGCGATTTGTATCATGATATATTGCATACCGTATATGACCGCGGATAAGCCGACCCCGTAGGTAAGCCGAGGTGTTAACTTGACCATTGAAATACAAAAGAAAAAGATATGACCCGCAGATAAGCCGAACCAGGAATTGAAAGGCATGTAAAGATCGCGGAGTTTACGAAAAACGATAAACTTTGAACATTCAATTGAAAACTTATTATCGGAAGTAGTAACATGCATAACATTTTTTTAATAATGACAACATTGGTGTATAATAATAACTTTATTGATAATTTATAACAATAATGGCTCTAGTCGTGGCAACTTCCAAACTTTCGGGAAGTTGTAATCTATCGGACCGTCATTCAGGCGATGTTTCTAACAGATCACGATCTGAAAAATACTATCATGAAAGCGTATCCCGTGGATAAGCCGACCCCTTTCTACAGAATCTTTTTTCTGGTCCTCAAAATTCGGCTTATACGCGGTCATATACGGTATATCTCAAATTTGAATTTAGAAACAATTTGAAAAAAATAGTGTATGATTTGAAATTCATTTATGGAACAAAACAAGATGCTGGTACAACATGTTTACTCATTCAATAAATATGGAGGGATGCATGCTGGGTATTTGGCAAGTGTGTAACATAAACATGTAATACAATTGCTTTTTTACATCACCCGTTACACAACGTAATAAAAAATGATATTGTGACTTGCATTGTGGAGAGAATGAACCTCCATTTACCAAGATACCGGTGATACTGTGCTAGAGAGGGAAAGAGAAACATAAATTGAGTAATGGAAGATGGGGGGAGGGAGAAGAGAAGAGGGGGGCTGTTCTGGAGAAGGAAGGAGGGAGTGTAAAATATTTTATCTTTGCAATTGTGGTACTGTCAGTTCATATTACTCATTCTGAAACAAACTCATATACAAATTAACTAATGTATTAACACATGATTAATTACAGTGATTAGGCCAGCGATTGATCTGACTCGGGTTTGACATTTACCGTGTGCTATAAATACCATGTATACTGTTTACTACACAAGTAAAACAATCCATGCTGGAAAACTTAAGCAGCCATACCGTTATGTCACATTTATACTATTTAGAAGCCTTGTTAATAAAAAGTTGTGTGACTCGTACAGTGTTTTTAGAGTGAGTATTTGGATAAACACCTGTGAAAGAATACAATTCAAGAATCTGCACAATTCACTCAATCAGTTTCACATTTGTGAACATCTTCCCGAGGCAAGAGCGTCCACTAGCCTTTTTATCAAAGTCTTGTTTCCAACCTTGCCACACCAAGCCCACTTTTCTGTGCTAAATATGATTTGACTATCAAACATATCGATAGTCCAACCAGAGAACGTTTCACAAAATCAACACCCACGACTGGTGCACCTTCGTACGAAAGTGATTTGCCGCTGCCTGTCTTTGTTCACACGCCTTTTTCATCGAAAGATTGTCTATGTTTTTGTGTCAGGGATGAAATCGCTAATGATTTCGTTATCTGATCGACTAGGATATACCACCTATGGTAGTTGCCATCTTTGTGAAGCTGTATGAGATAAGAACTGCGATCTGAGTGGATATTGCGTTTTCATTACAAGGGGCACAACTTGTGATCTACACGAGGTGGCGCCAGAGTCGAGCCCAGAAAAGTGGCCTTGATGTGGCAAGGGTAGAAACTAGGCTTTGATATAGGCTAGTGGACACGCTTGCCTTGGGAAGATGGTATGTGAAGCTCTTCAGATATAATTCTAGACACCTTATTATGCTGTTGTTGTGAAAGGTTGGCCAGGTGAGGTGAGCTGAGACAAATGGGAAGTGTTATTGTAAAGCAGCGAGGCGTTATTATTGGACACAACAACAGTGACAGGTGCTTCGCGTAGAAGCTAACAACTCACAAGACAGAAGGAACATATGAGAAGGATGCTGAGGACAAGAATACACATGATACATTTAGGCACCAAAGTACAGTGAGTCCTCTGCTACTGACAAAAGTACCTTAGGAGATTCACCTTCCCATACAATGGGTCGGTACTGCATTCAACAGAGCTCCAGATAAGCTGTGTATCTGCGTAAAATATGCATCAGAAATACAGAAATATGCAGTCAAATATAATCCAAGCGTATCAAATACGCAACAAACATTACAGATATGCTACAAAAATAAAACTTGTGTGTATCATCAAATTATTGTGAAGTAACCCTGCGTATTCGATTAGCAAATCAGCAACTTATTTTGAAATTATAAACGGGCATTCCGTCAACCTTGCCAAATTCCACGATGACAGTTACATCATGATCATTTGCCATCACACTTTCGTGTGGAAGTATCGTGGTACTTTTGAGTCCTATAAAGCTCTCGAAACCAAACACAACACCAGTTTGCAGGGACTAGATGAATAGTGTTTTTAAATATTTAACTTAAATACCCACATGTGTAAAAACTAGTGGGTAACAGAAATTTGAATACCCAGATAGAATTACTGATACTCAATGATTTTAAAATGCATGGGTAAAATACCCATAACACCAAAAGCTTATCTGGAGCTCTGATACAATCAGAATATTTCTACCTACTGTCACAAAGTAGTAATCTATTTAACAATATGTATGCAATCTAAACAGAAATAAAATTACAAAATAAATATATTGCAAGTGATTCCATGTCATCATGTGCCATTTGATTGGCTAACCAAGCAGTATTTGAAGCGTTTATTAGTATCGGGATGATACACCGATGTTTCGGTCGAATGTGATTTCTTAGTTCTCTATACAAATATCGATCACAGTCACACACAAAGTAAAAAGTATCGATTCTTAACTTAAATGTATTCTTCAATAAATGTTAAACCAAATCACTAATTACTGGTGAAATGAATAGCGAAAATATTTTCATCCATTGTGCCAAACTTGGCATTGCCAACTGTAAATCGTTAGTGTGCCAGGTATTTGGCCCTCTTGTCTTTCAAAAAGATGGCTTATACACCACAGGAAACAGCACATGCAAGAATCGTGATATGTATCTGATCACACAGTTTTCATCCCAGCACTAGAGTTTGTTTCCATTACCGTATTCGACGTAATAAGCGCCCAGGGCGCTCTCAAAATTAGAAATAGGGGGCTCTTATTAGAATATAATTTTGGTGCGATAAAAAACGAGGTTGAAAGATTGTAAATTTTGTGGTTTATGCAGACAGCCTGAAATGATATAAAAGAAGTATGTGTGTGTATTATACACGATAGATATATTTTCGAGAATTTAATTGCCCATAATTAAGGGTGCATATAACAAACGAGTGTGTATTATACACGAATACATAAATCTTGTGTACATTGATCAATCGGTAAGGGTGCTAACTGGGATTGTTCACGAGTCAGTATATTAGCAAATATCGCCGTGGGCGCTTATTAGAGCGGGGCGCTTATTACGTCGAATATGGTAATCTAAAAAATTAGGTGGCATCCACTTGTGAGCTACTGTTTCCCTGATTGGCTGATAAACATATACCGGGAGGTGGGGCCTGTGCTGCATGATTACACTGATATAGATGTCACCGACTTTGTTACGTCTACAGATTTTGTGCTAATGATTAAATAAGCAGTTATTACTGACTTATTTATTCACAAGGAATGACTTTACCAGATCCGTGTGTTTATTGGGTGCAAACCTAAAAACCATTGTACACACTTTGTATACATGGTGTAGGCAGAAATCAGTTCTTAAAAAAATTAAAGAGGCACTAGCACATTTGCCAAGACAAATGCCGGCCCAGACACACAATTAATAACAGTAAATAGAGTAGTTAAAATGTATAAAAGTTTAATATTTTCAAACTTTCTGAGTAGACAATCTTAATTATTAGGTCATTATCTGTACAATGCTATACAAAAGCATTCTAAACCACATGCTTGTTTCAGCTGAAACATGTCAGATGATAAATGACAACAAAGAACATTTGAGGTTAATGAAGACTGCCATTGTACCTAAATGCAGACATTAAAGAGTCATGACCAGTTATCAGGAACATATTGATATATTCATAATCTGACCACCACCTGTGTCTTCGCGGTCTTATTGGACATAATATACTACTGAAAAGAAGTTAAGGATCACCCGATTCTTTCATAATGGTAAAGTTAATCTGTCATGACATGAGAGATTAACTATAGTAATATGAAAGAATCAGGTGACCCTTAACTTCTCTTGAGTAGTATATATATATGACACAAATTGAGAGTGGACGCTCATGAGTTACTCTGCGAGTCCGGTAGGACAGGGACCAAGTATCAACCAAGTCACTCTGTCTGACCACCGATCCATTCTGTCGTATCTTACAACTAGCATAGGTTGATAGGACCTATTCCTACCAGAAATCCCCACAAGGGCATAAGACAACATGGAAAATAATTTTCCGTACGATTCACAAGCTAAATGGCATGTTCAGAAAATGGTATTATCAATCTCAATGGCGAGGAAGGTGGCAAACTTTCTACAAAACAACGACAAAATACATATCTAGATCCTGACACTGGCTTCCTCATCTTGTGTTTTCTGTCCATCATGCTGTGACAGTATTATCCTTCTGTTATTATTAAACCTTCTTATGTTAACCTCTGTCATGTATGCAATCGTTGTTAGTGTTAACCTACCACATATATTCTGTACCATGTTCATTATTCAGCCTTACTTAACAACGGAATAAGGAGCTATACCCAAACGTTACCATTACAGTAAAATAAGGAAGTTGTTATCCATAAATTGTGTCTACTTTATCATCTGTCAACATCAAAAATGCCTATCAAACAAATATATCGTAGCGTTTCAGCTTGATGTGGGAGGAAAGCATCCAGTGATGCACGTCTTAGACGATAACCACTTCGATTCAATCCACGAGCAAGGGTATGGTGCTGATAAACCCAGAAACATAATCGGGCAAATCAGGATTTGATCACAGGTTTCTGGTGTGCCCAAGGGATGCAACCGAATTACCGCTTCTTAGGCAACTGGGCAGATGCTCATGACAGTGAGTGAATGAGGGAGTGAGTATGGTTTTACGCCACTTTTAGCAATATTCCAGCAATATCACAGCAGGGAACACCAGAAATGGGCTTCACACAATGTACCCATGTCGGGAATCGATCGCGGGTCTTCAGCGTGACGAGCGAACGTTTTAACCACTAGGCTACCCGACCGCCCCCCGTGTCATGACAGAAGTGTGACAAAACTGTGCATGATATTGCTATCTGTGTCAAAAACAGACTTCACTCACAACACAATTCGCCAGATCACAAACAATAGAACCTGATCATTACCACCCCTCAGCTGCCAACAATGATGATATGGCATGTATGGGACATAATCTTTTCTATTTCCTATTGAGACCACAACCCACACAACTCAGGAGTCAACTCTGCTATTCATTTAACTATTTTCAGTTCTGATATTCAAATTACGTTTGCTAAATAATCATCATTATGGAGTAGTCCACAGTGTTGCAGGCAGTGGATGTCTACCACAATTGAAAAGCCAGCTAGCACTGTATCGAGTGCAAGGAAATCATTAGGTAGTGAAACTGGGATTGAAAATCACAACCTGAATATCATGTGATCCATGATCATGATGATGATTCTCCATGCTGCACCTTAAATCTTTGGCTCTTCGAACTGTACATGTTGCAGTAAACAGGTAAACAGGAGCACTGCTCCGCTGTCCATGATTAAGAAGTGATATCTCTACCAGCATGTCTCATGCCATTAATAATTAGGGCTGGCTAAAAGGATCGATAATTGGAATTATCGTCAATCATGTGAGAAATTTGAGTGACAAGTTTCTTATTTGCATAAGAGGCCACATGACCCATAGCATGCATAGTGCTGCATATACAAAAATGCATACAGTACACTGTTACTAAACAGATATACCAGTAAGGTGCTTATCTGGGTTGGTTTCTTTATAAATATAAAGATACACTTTTAATAACTGCAGGGTCGCTGATGAAAGAAGCTGGGATAAATTATCAATGGAAGGATTAGTATAACTATAATAAAAGGGCGTCAAAAATATTTCTCTACTCAACTGAAAATAAGGACATTCAAAAGGAAAATGAAACACGTCAGTAACAAAATGTTAATCATGTCAATTGCCGAAGACGAATGGCAACTGTTTTTTTGTTATATCTCAAATGTCCACAAACTGATCCATGCACACGTGTCAGTGCTCACCAGTGGCCTAAAATGTTGATTTCTTTCGGAACTTTCTTGCATATTTACTTGAAGTTACTTTTCTGATATTTATTAATAATTGATCGATATTTAGTAAGCAATTATCGATCTCTACATGCTCTATGAATCTAAGATCTATATCGATAGCCAGCCCTATTGATAAATATTATGTCATGTACTATCTCTTTCCTATTTTGTAGACACAGTCATTAATCTACAAAAAAAGCAAGTGAGTCATTATCTGTTATATTGTCACTGACAACTGTGTCAGTGATAAACAGTGCCATAATCTCGTTCCAAGAGACTTCAAATGGCTTTATTTTCAATAACATTTGGGTGTCGGGCTAAGACATATCATTCAATGGAACTTTTCAATCATGTCAGAGTGATATGTTTGTATTTTTTAGTATACATGAGTAGATAGCAAATGTTTCATTGTGCTAATCTGCACAAGCGTGAAACATATTTTGACTTATTCCGTATCATGCCCATCCTTTGTGGGCGACTGGTGACTCAAGCTTGGACAGCCAGACTACTTTCCTAACTACTGACAATTGATGAGTAATCCTCTGTTGGATTATCAGATTATCAAAAGACAAAATCACAGTGTTTATACGAGATAATATTAACTACTGTTCACCAAATATATTAACAAACGTATTCAAACCAAAGAAAAAACATATGTTTATAAATGGAAACGTCTTAGGCGAAATTTACAGACAGAAAAAAAGATGAAATTATTTTACTAAATAACGTAGCTATCGGTGAAAGGTTTTCTCAATAAAACCAGTAATGATTCATAATATTACAGTTGAATTAATTCTGTTTGAAATTCACTGCAACAATGTTACAAGTATTAAATCAGTGATGTTAAATTATAAGTTGTGTCGCGATCAATACCAAACATCCAGTCCACGAACTTCGTCTGTCATGCCGGTCTGTCATTAGTCAGAGGATCAAGAACTACAGTCAATACAATCTTATTAACAATAAAAATCAAGTCGAACATACTATCCGCAAAAGTACTTACGGTAAGAATGTATAAATATGCCGATTACAACGGCAATGAGACAGACATTCGTTCTAGGTGCAGCACGAAACTCCAGGAAGTCAACAAGATGGCTGCATCGATCTCGCTGAACTCTCGCAGGTGCGTGCGAGACTTGAAAGACAATATCATCTCATCTCATCTCTCGGGGCTTGGGCAAAAGTGAATCAGAATGTGTTTCACCCAGCGCACCGTAATCATTGGTTATTCAAAGGCCGGGATAGTTTAATTTATTTAAAATACGACAAAACGAAGAAGACAAAAGCAGTTTTGGTGCTGTACTTGCCCGCAAAAATATTTATCATCTCAGAGTTGAAAACAATTTCTCACTATTCAATATTCATCGAATTTTATGAAGTGATGACTGCAAACCTTAAATATTGTATAAAGAAGGAACTTTTTCATGGAAATTGTTAAAACTATTCAAGCATAGTTATTAACAATGAAAAAGACCGCATTAAAACCATTAAATGTCATTGTTAACACGCACGCACACGCACCCACGCACACACCGCACACACACACACGCACGCACACACACACAATTCCCTAATTTCTCTAAAGGGAAAGATAGTAATTTCCCGATGTTTTCACTGACACTAAGACAACTCGCCCAGTCGTCCAAGGCGTCACTTTTTGAGGCATGCCAGAAGCCTATTACTGTGGGTTCGAATCCCGGTTCGCCCCGATTATGTTTCTAGGTTTGTCATCACCATACCCGTGCTCGTGGGTTTCACCGAAGTGGTAAACGTCTTAGACCTGCATCACTTCAGGCTTTCCTCCCACATTAAGCTAACACTCCGTGATATAACTGGAATAATGTTAAAAGCGGCGTTAAACAAAACTCACTCACTCATAACTGAGACACTGTTCAAAGCGACCTAAAACCATATTCACGCGTTCCGTTCTTATGCATCTGAAGTACATGGAAAAGCTGAGCGTGGATCCATGTTTGCGTGGGACTATTTGCACACATTTGCTTGCTGCCTTGACCATGCTGGCGGTGTGTCACACTCTGACGACTGGATCGATGCTCATATACTCAACCACATGTTTACCTGACCCAAACCAGACATAGCATAGTCACGAATATTATGTCATATTACTAAGATATTAATCCAATAATCCTGTAATAGTTATGTTATATTGCCGTAATATTTTTTTGTGATGTTGTAAAATTACTGCGGTATAAATGTATATATTGCTGTGATGTTGCTAGACTGACATTTAGTCCCAGAAATAAAGTTATTATTTAAAAATATATCTCTACAAAATAAAATTATATAATCCAAATGGAGCCCAGAACAATCCTTAATGTCAGAGCTAGAGCTGAGGCAATCTAGACTTGCCAAATCATTCTAGACTTGAGTTGGACTGTGATATTGCGGCGATGATATGATCTTGCTGCGGTCTTGGTTTAGTATTGTCGTCATATATTGCTGTATTATCGTTGCAATATTGCTGTGGCAGTGTTGCTATATTGTTACTTTGTGAGATTTAATCATATTTAATATCTGTATCTGTGCACAACATTATCGGGTGATGTATCCCCATGTACAACACATTACATGATTATGCCACAACACAACTGAAGGCGAGTCTGACCGCCCAAAACAGCCCGGATGTAATGGGGACAAGGTTCGCGGATAAGATAGAAGAGTCACAGACTCGGCGATGTGAAACCCCGATGACAACGTGTTCTGTCACACCGACAGCGTCTTCTGTCTCTCTGACAACATCTTCTGTCTCTGTCAGAATGTATACATCACACTTCCGTCAACACCCAAGTCTGTATACCACTGAGAAGGGTAACTGAAGTCCCGGATCAGGTCTCGCTTAGTCATTGTCACTATGGGACTTAGAGCAAAGGATATAGACAAAATTCTGTCTACCTTGACTATAAGGTGAGGTGAAATGGGGTTTAACGTCGCGTCAAAGATTATTGCACTTATATAGCGACGTGCATGTGTGTTTGTGTGGCTGCTTGTACTAGTCCGGACTGGTGCCGATTTATAGTGCTAGACCACTGAGATACCATGCCGCAGTTTAACATGAATACCCCATCCAGACACAGTATACTGACTCCGAGCCGACCAGTCCTTGTTTTAGCCCCTTAGTGTCGAGCGCCAGACAGGGTAACCATCTTTTAACGTCTTTGACGCGGCTGGGGATCGAACCCCGGACCTTCCCGCTCTCCGGGCGGACGCTCTACCATTAGACCACGGAGGCGGTCTACCTTGACTATAATGGCCAATTGCACATGAATTAATCATTTAATGTGTCTCTTGGTTGTCACCAGTCGAGGCGAGGGTGAGATGGCCTTTATACCACTATAAACAGTATTTCATTAATATCACAACGTGTCAGCTTGCTATCGAAGCACAGGTTCTTAATCGGGTCGAATCTGGGATTAGAACCAGTTATTAGCGGATACTGGCAGGACGAAAGGACGCAACCCTGCACGGTTGAATGCGACGCCTGAGACAGCCAATGTCAGCAATGCATGGCAGCATTAACATCGCACATATATACACGTGGACTGAATATATGAATTTTCCAACTGATCTATGAATTAATTAATGGGACAAAATCACTTTGTAAAAGCTGCCGTGTAAAATCGGGTCGGAACTGACCTTATTGTTTCTTGGGAAATATTGAAAATGTAAAAAGTTTACAACTCGCATAGAACGGACATGGCATTCTTACCATCAGTTATGGTGAGCTAACATGGATCCGATAAATGCAATAAGCGTCCCACTTGATCTTTGGAAAGAGAGTAGCTACTCGTGTATATGTAGGAGCGTCTTGTATACTAAAGAGTTTTGTCAAATACAGAGAGAAATGAGCCAGGCCCACGGTTTGGTTGAACTTTACCGCTGTTTTGTCAGCACACAAGTAGATTGCCTTTTCGCAGCATCGGCCAACAGAGCGCCGCGAGGTCGCTGAGAATGTTGATGCTTACTACAGATGTTACGTGAAGCGTTGTTATATTAAGATATCGCTCAACCTAGTCCGAACACTCAAGCCTCCACAAACCTATGGTAGACCAGTAATATTTAGTGAAATTCACGACAGTTCATTATACTGTTGTTGTTTGTTGTTTAACGCCGCACTCAGCAACGTTCCAGCTATATGACGGCGGTCTGTATATAATCAAATATGGATCAGACAATCCAGTGATTGGTATTGTCATTGATGAACTCCGCTGGGACCTAATGACTTGCAATCACACAAATAGCCGATCCACGAAATCACGTCTTACGACCAACATAGGTTGCTGTAGTACAGTTTACATAGTGCGACCAAATTCCTGTGCTGTGAGATACTGTTGATCACAATGGAACTTCGAAAGTGGAACCCCGTTAAAAACAATAAAAAATAAAAAATGAATAAATAAATAAATAAATAAATAAATACATAAATAATGCGCCAGATTCCATTCACCAAGTGGATGCTCATAGCGCTACACTCTTATTCACCGGTCAATGGATCAGTGAGCACTCGATTTTCATTCTCAGCTCCCTGGGGAGTATACAACTCAAGCTGCCCGTGAAGCGCTAGAAGGTTAACAACCACATTACCATCTCCTCCTACCGGGTACCCACTCACTGCTGGGTGAACAGAGGCACATTTCTAACAAAGTCACTCACCTAAGGAGGCACCACATGTGGTACACCACGTGGGAACCTCGTCATTTGGCAAACCTTACTATACTCGGTTGGGGCGGTCAGGTAGTATATAGCACTTAAAGCGTTCGCAACTATACCCGGGTTCGATTGCCGCTGTGATATTGCTGGAATATTGCATATAGCAACCTAAAACATCACTCACCGACTCACACACTCACTCATTCACTCACTCACTATCCGAACACAGGACCGACTTCCGATTTATGCCACGATTCGAGGGATATCATCCTCGATAATCCAGTGTAGTATGTTTCCAACTCGGTTCCAAATTTGACTACATCAAATTTACAAACAGCATGTTTATCACCATTCTACCATTAAGTCAAGAGCCTAGTTAAAACGGTGCTCTTTCGGAAGGCGTAATTACACATGGGAACAGGTGAGGTGAAATGGGGTTTAACGTCGCGTCCAAGATTATTGCACTTATCTGTACGTGCACGTGTGTGTGTTTGTGTGGCTGCTTGTACTAGTCCGGAATGCCGCAGTTTAACATGAATACCCATCTCAGACACAGTATACTGACTCCGAGTCGACCAGTCCTTGTTTTAGCCCCTTAATACCGAGCGCCAGACAGGGTAACGACAATTACCATATTTTAACGTCTTTTGGTATGACGCGGCCGGGGATCGAACCCCGGACCTTCCGCTCTCTGGGCGGACGCTCTACCACTAGACCACGGAGGCGGTTACATGAGAACAAAAGTCCGTCAACTTAGAACATTCCGAAAAGGGGTCATAGGTCGTTTTAAATGTAATAAATATTACTAAAGTTCAAGACTAAAATATTCATAGTCATAACTGACTAGTTCAAAATGTCGGTTCAAAACATAGTACTGCACAGTTTTGACATAACCAAGTCATTTCATGGAAATTAGCGCGACATGTATATATCAATAAAACATCTCCCATTGTAGGGGTGTCAGATTGTAGAAAAATAATAGTGAGTGAGTGAGTTGTGTTTAACGCCGCTTTTAACAGTATTCCAGTTATATCGCGGCGTGTCAGCTTAATGTGGGAGGAAAGCCCGAAGTGATGCAGGTGTCAGACGTTTATCACTTCGGTGAAACCCACGAGCACGGGTATGGTGCTGACAAACCTATAAACATAATCGGGTCGAACCGGGATTCGAACCCACAATCATAGGTTTCTGGCGTGTCCACGGGACGCAACTCTGCACAGCGAATCGCGGCGTCTTAGACGACTGGGCCACCCGTGCCTCCAGAAAAATAATAATAATAATGCTGAAAGAATTTACTTCCCCAAGAAACAGGATTTTATTTATTTGAAGTTGTACTTATGTGTCAGCTGGTTTGTTTGTTTGTTGTTTAACGCCGCACTCAGCAATATTCCAGCTATATGACGGCGGGCTGCAAATAATCGAGTCTGGACCAGACAATCCAGTGATTGACATCA